GAGTTTCTTACTAGCTTTACGTAACTTAATATTTTTCGTTAAGAGTATAACTAGATCGCCCGCTATAAATTCTATATTCTTACGGTGCTAATTATAGTAGCTCTTAACCTTTTCTTACGTTCTTTACTAGAATTCTCGTAAGTGAGCTCGTATAGCTAAAATCTTCTTAGTATTTTATTTTACTCTCTTATAAATTAAGAGCGGTTCCTTTCCATCTAATTCGGGTGAATAAGGACCTTTAAGATTTCTTTTTATACTAGGTTTATAGTTATACACTATCTAGAACGGTATAGCATTAATCGTACTATTCCGGCTATTATTAATAGCCCATTCTACACTGCTGAGTAATTTAGCTCAGTTACTTTATTCATCATTTAGATAGCATCTTAAGTAGTATTTAAGCACTTAATTTAGCCGCTCTATTTATCCGTCTATCTATAGATAAAAAGCGGTTAATAGCTTTCTCTTAACCGTGAGATAATAGCACATCGTCTCTTAATACTTCGACGTAAATAGGGAGTCTCTATTACTTATAATTATTTTAGGCATTCTATATCTCGAGAAGACTTTATTAATTAAGACCGTCTTTAATTTCTAGGCCGTTATGTCTTACTTATATAAAATGAGACGCACCATTTTTAAGTGCCTATCTACTACCACTAGCACCGCGTCGTAGACGCTATTCCGATGCTTAGACGGTGGTAGCTCTACGATGAAGTCCATAGTAATACCTTATTAGGGCTTTATCGGCGGAGCTAGAGAGACTAGCTCTCTATAAGGCTTATATCTTAGAACCTTTATTCTTTAGTATACATCATAAGTATCTATATACTCGTAAACGTCCCTCTTCACCCTAGGCCACTAGTAATAACGCTAAATAACTTCGAGCGTTCTAGCTCGCCTAAAGTAACCCCCGTCCTAAGGATTATTATAATTAATCCTTAGGATCTTAGCCTTAATCGTTAAATCATTGAGAATATAAATAAGTCTATTTCGTCGGACTATTCTCGCTTAATCTAGTGTCTAATGCCCTTCATCTACGGAGGTTATCTATATTCGTGCGTCTACGAACCGATTAAGACTCTACGCCTCCCGAATCTAAGCTTCTAGATTTACTCTCTTATCTAATTCGGGTGAGAAAGTCGGCGCTCTTTCTCTTTTAGGGGTCGCCTAGCTTATATTTACTAGGCGACCGTCCTCGATGAGTTCATTTAACTCATCGCTCTTCTACTCTAGCTCTACTTCGTTAGTAGAAGATATTAGACTAAAAATAGTGTTCCATTCACTATTCCTTAGATACGGTTTTCGTAACGACTACGCTCTCGTTAATACCGTAATTCGAATAGCGCTAATCGATATCGATACTTCACCGTCTTCACCCGATTCGGGTGGAGGCTCTGAGCGTAGGGCTATAAGTTTATATAGTATATTACCCTATTTATTAGCACTTAAAATTACTCGCTTATAATTAGGTCTTCTAAATAAGCTATTAGCGAAGTTTTTCTTATCTACCCTCCATTCAATACGAAAATTAAATATTACTAGGTCTTCTACTTAGCGTATTTATCTCTTTCGAGCTAATATCTTTATATTTATAAAGTAGGTTAGCGCTTTATAATTAGTGACTATAGTCACTATCTTAGAGAGGGCTTCTAGATAATACCTTCATTCCTTAAATGCGTATATAATCGCTAGTATTTCCTAGTCACTCGTAGAGTACCGAATTTCCTTAGATTTATATTTACGAAAGTAGAAGACTATAGATTTTTAAACGAATAAAGATTTCTTATTCGTTTTAGATAAGGAAATAGTGACCTTCTAAGATAATATATCTTCTAGTTCACTATTAAAGATATCGGTCTCTACTCTTACCTCTAGATCTAGATCGTAATAATGAAGTAGAGAGACTCTTTTAAAGCGCTTCTTAAGCTCTTAAAAAGCCTCATTTACTTTTAGAGTCTATTCTAAAGGGTCCTTCTTTACGCTATACTTTATTTCTTTTAGTAGATCTATAATTAGCGCCACCACTCTTAAGAAATTACGAATGAAGTCCCTATAAAAATTAGTAAATTCTAGGAATATCTAGATATTTCTAAATATCTAGAGAATAGATTATTCTCGAATAGCTACTACTCTCTAAGGATTTATTGAAACTCCTTCCTTATTAACGATGAAGCCTAGAAATGTTATTTCTCTTATATAGAACTCGCATTTACTAAGTTTAATGAAAAGCCGTGATTTTCGGAATCTTTCGAGCACTTATTTAATATAATTCTTATATTCTTTCTCTATTCTACTAAAGATTAGAATATCGTCCATATATATAATGTAGAAAACGTTTAATAAGCTCTTTAGGAACTCGTCCACGTATACCTAGAAAGTAGCTGGGGCATTCGTTAGCTTAAAAGACATTACTAAGTACTCGAACTACCCATATTTAGTGCGGAATACTGTTTTCTACTGGTTCTCTACCTTAATAGGGATTCTATGGTAAGCATCTCGTAGATCTAGCTTTATAAAGAGTTTTGCTTCTACTAGGCGATTAAGAATCTTAGATATTAAGGGTAATAAATAACGATTCTTAATCGTGACCTTATTTAGCCCTCTATAGTCTATATAGAGGCGAAGTCCTCCGTCTTTCTTTAGAATAAATAGAATAGAAGCCCTAGTAGGTGAGATACTTCGTTAAATTCACCCTTTTATTAATATATTATCGAGGTATTTCCTTAGAGCCTCGAGTTCTCTATTACTTAAAGGGTAGATGGGCTTATAGGGTACTATTATACCTAGCGTAAGATTAATTATATACTCTACCCTCGACACTAATAGAATTTAAGTCTCGCCCGGATCTAATGTTACGTCGCTATAGCTAGTATAAAGAGAAGATATATCTCCGTTCTTACTTAATACGAGAGTTCGGAGGCGGGTGAAACACTACTCTACCCGATTCGGGTAAGAAACTCTTTAAGATTTCTCTAAAGATTAATATTATATAATGTAGATTTTATTCTTCTTTTAAATAAGCTCTTACGCTATAATTATACTAATTCGAGTTTAGCGATCTAGATCTCTTACTATCTAGATATCATCTCTAAAATTAATATCGAGATTAATTACTTTAAGCTAGCGTATACCGAGTATTATATCGAATCTCTCGATATTCGTAGATAATAAATTAAGTCTAGCCTTAGTAGTCCTTCCCCGGTCATTAATGGTCTAAACCTCGAGGCTATGACGGCCGTAAATAGTAATCTACCGTTTATTCATAGCCTTTCTAAATATATCTAGTGAAACGCCTTTTAAACTAAGCCTAATAATAGTTATCTATGAGATGAAGTCGTCCTGTGCCCCATAGTCCATAAGGGCCCGTAATCGATGCTTCTCGCCCTTTACTCGGACTATTACTTAAATGCTCACACAGCGTTACTTTAATACGCCGTGTCTCGTAGACTAAATATACTCTAATGCGATAGCTACGTTTATTATATTAGTATCTATTTTTTTGTACCCTTTTTAGGGTAATTCCGTACTAGATACCCTTTCTTATAGCAATTATAGCACTTAGGAATAAATAAGGACGTTAATTTTTCTCTCTACTTAGCTTTGAGCTTAGCTAATACGTTTAGCGAACTAAATGTATTTTTTTCCTCCCGATTTAGGTGGGAAGTTCTATTCTCACTTTCTATTATAGCCATCGATGTCTTTTACTTTAGGAGCTCATTTCTTTTTCCTAAAGTATTCTTCTTCTTAGCCTTACCCTTTTACTTATTCGTAAAACGTATCTTATAGCGATAGGCGACCGTAAGAATAGTATCTCTATTAAGACGTACCTTCTATGGCTCTATCATAACTACGTTACGAATATTAAACTATAGATTATAAAGGAAACGCTACATCTTTTACTCGACTTCCGTAAGCCTTAATATCTTTATCTCGGTTTCTACTTACTCTAGTTTATATAAGTATTAACGAATACTCTATTCTTTTCATTACTTTCTAAACTAAGTAGTATAAGTGGCCTTAAAAGTACGAGTTTAAGAGTTTTTAATAATATCTCGAAGGAACGTAAGGAATTTCTCTTAACTAGCGGATACGTTACGTTATCTATAATATATCTAACGAGGCTCTTTATCTAGCTAGATTATTACCGTTTAGATAGCTCGCTTAGTTACCTTAGAGTCTATTAGGTCCTAGTGATAGAACTCGAAATACATCTCGATACTCATAATAAACTTAATTAAGGCCTAGTAACTACCCTTATTAAAATACTTCGGGGGGTCCGCCTTAAAGATTTTCGCGTAGCTAGCTAAATTATCTATAGCTAGTCGCTTATTATTCTCACTCGATTTAGGTGGAAGACTTCGAGAATATACTATAGTCTCTTACATTAATCTCTATTCTACACTAAGAGTACCCCCTCTCCGTAGATAATGGATTCGGTCTATTTATTCTCGCCGTATTCTTTCTCTTTTAAGTCTAGATAGTTCGGCCTATAATTATTTATCATCTATTTCTTCGAGATCACTTACGTCCGTAGGCGTAAAAATGAGGTGTCGCGGGTCTATAGGGCCCGTAGTAATCGCAGGGTCTTCATCGACAGTCCCCGACGAGACCTCGGGCGCCCCATTGTCTCGGGGCGATGGGGGGTTCATTCTCACCTAATTTAGGTTGGAACTTACCCTAGTAAGGATAATTTTTAGGGGTCTCCCTAGAATCGTATGTAGCTACTACTAGCTCGATAGTGTCACTACGTAATAGATAAGCGTTAAGAATTATTAGGGATCTACGCAACGCAGTAGATATAAAGGAATTAAAGTAGCTAAATGCCTTATTCTATTTACGTAGCCCTATTAACAACGACTTAACGCTTAAGAAAAAGAAAGAGTTCTCTCTCAGCCGATTTAGGTGAGAGGAGACTCTTATAGCTTCCCCTCTTTCTGTTACGTGAAAAGGGTAAGGCAGCGTTAACCGATAGCCTTGTGCCTTAACCGTCCTTTGCCTTATCCTTTCCTTTTCTTTCTATACCGTCCACCCGATTCGGGTGGAGGGCGTAGAGTACTTGGGGACAACGGTGGGTTCGTGACAATTTGGCTATTTGCACCGTCACATCCCGCGATATATGTCGCCGAGAACTTCTTCGTGCCCGATGGTGTAACAACATCCACCCACGCGTTGTTTTCATCTTGCCCTATGGCGACGACCTTGTGATCCCAACAGATAGTCACGTTCGGTTGCTGTACTAGGCGTTCGTAGAGGATCTGGCCCAGTTGGTTGAGTGGAAGGCAGATCATACGGTCCGGATCATCTTCCAGGACGCGATGATTGAGTCCTGCTAGGAACAGGCCATCAAGTTTGCGCCAGCAGAAAACGTTTGGGTGGAAACCCCGTTCGCGGATCGCATCCAGCACACCCGATCGTCGTAGCTCATAGACCGCTGGCGGACCATAGTGAGTGGCTCGTGGTTGTTCATCCAGGTTGGTTCACTTCTCCAGAACCTGGACTGGTATCCCAGCTTGCGAAAGCAACAAGGACAACAACAACCCAGCAGGTCCTGCTCCAACCACAATGACCCATGGTATCAAAGTCATGATGTCGGAGTTCAGCAATTACCAACGACGGCCCTATGGTATATGTTTCATTAGGGTACAGGGAACAAGTTTTTAACTCTACCAGCCGGAGTGGATTTTTGTCTATGAAACAATTTCTCGGCTCGATATACTTTCAATTGGCAGCCTGCGGATCACCATACCTTGCAGGGCCACGAAGAAATGGGTTTTGGGCTCCTTAGTAGCCTAGATCACCGGTAGCAGTGCCGTTTGCATGGCATCACCTAGTGGGGGAACCGCGAATTCTACCCACATTTCAACCTCCACAATTTCCCTTTCAGGAACGTCACACCGATGCAAAGCCTCAGCAAAAGTCTGATGCGTGAAGCGATTTCCCCTAGAATACTGGGCGGAAACAGTCACCGCCTTTGGGAGGTCCCTGAACAACATACTGGGGTTGAATCATGGCCCCTAGAGATTGGCTACACCTCCCACTTGCCACTGGCGCAATAATTATAGCATTACCCGTCCATCTAAGCGACGTCCCCATTGACATCAGTGACACACTACCCACAGTCGAGTCTGCCTGACCGATGTCTGTCACGAAGAACTGCTAGTAGTTAGACGGCTTGCCCGCTCTCTTCTGCCTTCTTGACAACATTCAGAACCCATTCAATTGTCTCATCCTTTGCAGTCAAATTGGGGCAATGGCCCGCCTTGATACTTGTGACATCAACCTTCCGACCACTCGCTTCAGCAATCATAGCGATCATTTCTCTTTGAAAATCAGGAGGGCCCGCCAAGTCTTCCTCACACAACAAGTATGAAACTGGAATATCCTTGTATCCAGCGTGTGTTAGTTGGTTGCCGAAACTCTGCGCAGAATGCTTTGCAAAGCCCGTGACAATGGCCTCGCCCTCCCCAAGAGGCAGGTCTTGACAAATTATTCTAGCGGTCGCCGCTGGATCCTCCATTAACATCCAACCATCTTCCTAGGGATCAGGGTCAGACATAGACGAGGTACAGGCAACCTTTTGCTGAGAGACTTACGTCAATGGACACCAAGGGCCTTTTCTCGTTGGGAAACCTGCCCAGGAGAGAAGTAGCTGAGTTTCCAATTGCAGGGACAAGGCAGGATATGAAAGCGAGCTGGACGATCCCTCCGGGTTTGCCCTGAGCCTTCCTCTCCTCCTTTCCTAGTCCCTTTGTGCTTTGGGAGATCGGGATACCGGCATACGAGTGGCCCATAAGAATCACGTCTTTGCCCTGATCGGCAAGTTTCTCAGCCGCCTGCGCAATCACCGCCGCGTCGTCGTACATGGAAGGTGCCGGACCCTCTTTACCTTGTCGGCTGCTTAGTCCAACGGTAGGCGGATGGATGCCTTTGATCTCGTAGCCTGCCTCAGAGACGGCATCGAAGAGCGGTTGATAGACCGGCAACAGAACGTAAGATCCAGGGATAAAGATGATCGAAGGTTTTGACATGCTTACTATCACGTTAAGAAAGTCTTTGGATCAGATAGGTCAAGTCCGCCTAAGATGTGCAGTTAGTTATTTGGGAATTGAAGGCTTCCAGAGTCGCTGAAGGGGTACTTGTGTAAAATATACGATGGGCAAAGAATCCCCGTACCTAGTTACTTACTTCTCCTCATTCCGGAGCGGAATAACTGTATTCCAATAACTTGATTGGTCCTCGCTGTCCGTCAATCGACTAAGTCAGACCCATTATCCGAGCTCACCACTGTATATAAAAAGCGAGTTGATTTATAATTGCCGGATTGTCAAGAAACACGGATGAATTAATGGGGGCATTCGGAAAAAGTTCGGACCCAAGGGTACGTCTTGCCGGACCACCTGACCAGCATTCCTTGGGGCAATGCCGCCGGATATCCCGAGTATGCGAGGGTAATCCACTGATGCTTCACGAAATAGTTCAGTTTGGTCCGCTAGATCTTTTTTTCGAACTGCCAGTGCGCAGCCAAGTGCTCCAACTTTAATCTTCAAAAGCCTCGAGGTGCCAATATTCTATACAAGAGTAACGAGCCAAGATTGTTCACTCCTGCGTTATGAATGACAAAATTCCAGAAGTGCTGCCGGTTACGGCAGCACAGTTCCGAGCGATGCTTCCATTAGCCGACCGCTTGACCACTTTCTCAAGTTGGGCGTTCATTTGCGGTGCACTTATTGTTTTTGTTCTCTGGCTATCTGATAGTACAGACGTGCCTTTTATTCACAATCTTCCTTCTGCTCCTGGCCTTCCAATAGTGGGGAACCTCGTCCAGCTAGGTACGGAGCAGCCACGACGTTTAGCAGAGTTGTCGAAGAAGTATGGCCCCGTTTTCCAGGTCAGATTGGGAAATAAGGTAGGTGCTCTCATATGTTGAACATTGCGGCGGTGATTAATCTAGTCTCAGCGATTCGTCGTTGCAAACAGCTTCGAGTCTATCAAGCAACTCTGGATCAACAACCAATCAAGTCTGATATCTCGTCCTACATTGCACACATTTCATAACGTTCTTTCATCTTCCCAAGGCTTTACTATCGGCACCTCCCCATGGGACGAGTCTTGTAAGCGACGACGGAAAGTTGCTGCCGCTGCACTGAATCGGCCATCCGTTGTCGGCTACATGCCTCTTATCGACTTGGAATCCTGTGTCAGTATCAAAGAGCTAGTGCAACAACTAGGTAACACTGAATCCCAGGTGGATCTCGACCCTTATCCATTATTTCAGCGACTTGCTCTCAACCTCAGCTTGACTCTCGGCTACGGATTTCGCATCGAGGGCTCCGTTGACAACGAGCTCTTGCGAGAGATCATCACTGTGGAACGCGGAATTAGCACCCTCCGGAGCACAAGCAACAACTGGCAAGACTTTGTACCGTTGTTGAGGATATTTTCCAGAAGAACCAATGAAGCATCCGACCTTCGGCACCGGCGGGATGTCTATCTTGAATACTTGTTGCAGAAACTCAAGGACAGGATTGCAATGGGACATCATGTTTCCTGTATTACAGGCAAAATCCTGCAAGATCCCGAATGCAAGCTCACCCATGGTAAGTAATCTGTTGCCACAAGGCTTCTCATCTCATACATCTGCTAATATATGTAATACAGCGGAAATAAAATCGCTCTGCGTGACTATGATCGCAGGGGGCCTTGACACAACGCCCGCTTGTCTTTTACTCGGTATAGCCATTCTTTCAGGCCCCCAAGGTCCCTCGCTTCAGAAAAGACTCCTCGACGACATTCATAAGATATATGGAGAAGGGAAGGCCTGGGTAAAGTGCCTCGAGGACGAGAAGTGCGAGTATGTGAAGGCCTTTTGCAAAGAGGTGCTCCGCTTTTGGACCGTCATCCCCATGTCTCTGCCCCGCTTAAGCATCAAAGACGTCGTGTGGCAAGATGCGATCATTCCTGCTGGCACTACATTCCTTATGGTACGTGTGAACGAAATGCTACCAGAATTTTCGTGATGTGCTGACAAGTATTTGTGTCAATAAGAACGCCTGGGCAGCAGACTTTGATCCTGATCGTTTCAAGTGTCCCCAAGAATTCAGCCCAGAGCGATTCCTGGACATTCCAGAAGGCTCAGGGACGGAACACTTTGCCTTCGGAGCGGGCTCACGCATGTGTACCGGATCGCATTTGGCGTACAGGGAGATGTATGTCACATTTATACGCATGCTCCTTGCATTCGAAGTGCTTCCTGCCACCGACCCAGGCCAAAGACCGATCTTGACGGGTCCCCTCGAGTGCAACGCCAACCCATCGGGACTGTCCATTGAGCCAAAGGCATTTAAGATCGGGTTTCGCGTACGCGACGACGCGTGTCTTGAGAAGTGGTTCGAGGAAACCGAGAACGCGACAAAGCACATCGATGGATAGTTTATTAGTCTATCGAATACTATTTTGAGGCGTTTGTATATGCCGCGTTCTCTGTTGGAAGTGATAGCTCAGACTCGATCAGCCAGAATATCTAACATATTCCCCAAGTTTAGACAGACTCCATTCTTCCAAGATTGAGCGAGACTACCCTAGGCAATTAGGTCCGTTACAGACGTCGCTTCAGGCGTCTAGACATGCATGCATCCCCATCGACTCAGAGGCATCAAGACTTGGTTCCTTTACATTGGGCGGATTAGGGTGATCAAGGAACAATCACACCTCCCCGTTGTTTCCTTGGCCGAAGTGTCAGCTCTCTCAGCTCGTTTATGATAACTAAGTAGACAAGCTCTAGCTTGAAGTTCTGTCTATCAGGTTTCTAACCATGACGGCTTGGGCGCTGGTAGGATAGTTCCTGAGCACTCACCAAATCCTACCAGCTCCGAATAGTCGCCGCCACACCAGCCTCGAATGGTGACACGATCACCATCCTCTAAGAAAGTACGTTTAATCGTGGGAGATACATCATAACTCCGTTTTCCTCCATGGGAAGCCTCGAGCAAAGAGCCTAGAGTTCCGGGCTCTGCGCCGCTGATTGTTCCTGACCCGATGAGATCACCAACTTCCAGAGGGCAGCCTCCTATTGTGTGATGAGCAATCATCTGTGCGAAGGAATACACGAGATTGCGGCCGTTCGTGCGTGACAAAGTTACGGATTCACCATCAGTTGCTTGTTGGAGCACTTGTCAGTAATTGAATCCAGCAAAAAGGGTGGGTACAGGGTTCGACTTACTTGTCAACTCAACTTCTAAATTCATGTCGTAAACATTCTCCTTGCGCGCTTCCTGCAGATATGGGTGCAGCTTCGTCTCATTCAATATTCCGGGAGTACGAAACATGTCCAGGGCGTCTTTCAGCACAACCCAAGGACTGATGGTGGTTGCGAAAGTTTTGGCATTAAAAGGGCCCAAGGGGACTGCCTCCCAGGCTTGTATATCCCGAGCGGACCAGTCATTCAGTAGAACAAGGCCAAAGATGTGCTTTTCCGCCTCATTTACGTCGATGGGCTCACCAAGTTGGTTTCCTTTGCATAGAAGCGCGCCCAACTCGAGCTCAATGTCAAGCCGACGACATGGTCCAAAGCTTGACTCGGCTGCAGACGGGTTTTCTAAGAATTGTCCCAGAGGCCGATGTATACCTGTGCCCGAAAGCACGACCGATGAGGCTCGTGAGTTATAGGCCACCGGCAAATGGAAATAGTTGGGTTGCAAGGCCTTGGTGGGGTCCCTAAATATGCACCCACAATTGTATGCATGGTTTTTGCCGGCAAAGAAATCGGTGTACCCTCCAATCTTCATGGGTAGATGTAGTGTGACTTGATCTCTCCTGAAGAGACTCGCGCGTTGGGTTTCGATGTTGTCTCTTAGAACGCCAGGGAAAGAGGTTTCCTTTGCAAAGACATCTTGCAAGAACCTGCGCACCTTGGTGTGGACATCCTGACCTAGTGCGGCAAAATCATTCAGGCTGGGCTTCGAGAAAGTTGCAATGTGAGTAGCAGGGAAATCTTGAAGCTCCATGAAGCCCTGGTGGCGGGAAAACTCATGCAAGTCCAGGACATGGTCCCCGATAGCGATTGCCGCGTGCTTCTCGATTGAGGATGAAGTTGAAATGATTCCGAACGGTATATTTGCCCGCGAAAAGTGCGAACCCTTGGGGATATCCAGCCAGCTGTCATGAGTCGCCATGACTCTTGTTGTCGAATGCTATATCTGAACACTCATAATTGATACACACTGGCTCTTAAGATACAATGCCGAGCTTGCGTCCATCCTATCTGATGATATTACAGCTTGCGACTCAGAAAGTGCTATTGGCCGTTTGAGAAATCCAGCCCGGGTTTTCCGGCGGATGGTCTGCGACCTCTTTCGTTCCGGTGAAACCAGACGAAAGTAGTCAACCAATGCATATCTCTCGCTAAATGTGTTTGGAGATGAGTAATATTGACACAACATCAAGTCTGGCTGATGGTCCAGGCGGACTCTTCATTGTGTGCTCGGCCAAAAGCAAAAAGCAGATCTACCTTCTTCTGACTTGGGGCCACGGCGCACGAGCATCGTTGCTGATGGCTCTTGATCAGGAGTCAGGACCCCTTTCACAAATTTCGCGATACCAGAGAGATATTCGTATTAAAATGGTGTCCTTGCCAATCTAGAGTGAGTGACCTCAATTTGGGATAATGGATGTAATAATGCTGACTCTCTGGGCTAGAACGGAGGCAATCCCAGGAGTCTTGTCCATCGGACAGGACTTACCTCAAAATGCCCGCACGGTCTTTATGCTGAGAAGGTCTCAGGAATATCACTCACCGCACCACGATGGGAGAATCAATAGACAGAGGGTTATCGCATTATTCCATCGCATCTCACGCCACGTTCGATGCTGTGCCCTGTTACAACAGCATGGAAATAACGTTGACTTACATTCCGGGTCAGCTCCGATAGAATCCTTTTGACGTTTTGGCGGACGTTGGCTGGATCAGGGACTTGAATAAGTTCGTCGGCTCGGTAGATCCTGCTCTAAAAAATGGCATCGCATATTATAT